CACCCAAGAAAACAGAACTCTTGAAACAGGCATTGTATCAAAAGAAAAGTTTTATTAGGGGTTAGTGACAGTAGGATAGTCAAGGTGAGATCTCGGGAAAATCCCGCTTGAACGGTATAATTAAACCAGCAGTATTCCTCCTCCAACCAAAGTTATAATGTCCATTTGAAATCCAGCCAATCCACAGGTGGTACGAAGTCTGGCTGGCTGGTACAGTTGGCGCGCATCTTATGGTCTTCTCTAGCTTTCGTTTTACTGTAACCGTCTCCCTGAGAAGGGAGACACATTCCTTTCTCAAGATGATAGAAGCAAGAGAGAGAAAGTAGAAAGCGGAAGTTATCCCAAGCAAAAGCATGCTCCCCCCCCCCAGCAGAATGGCAGGCCCCAAAAGTAGAATATATATGCAGGGGAAACAATGAGGGTTTGGGAACCTGATATAGTGCAGACAAGAGGTGACCAGGACATGAGTGATTGAATGGAGAGTCATCCTATCCAGGAAAGAGCATAACTGGCACACAATACGGTTGAGCAAAAGCCCTTCTAAGCATGGCTGTCACCCGTTCTTTGAGCAGGAACTGTGAGTCCAAGAGACCCCCAAGTTATGAACTGGGTCTTTCTGAGGTAGTGCAGACCAAAGATAATAAACTCCTGGATACAGAGGGACTGCCCTATAGCCATCCCATGTTACTAGGTTCAGCTGAAGTCTGTTGTTCCCCATCCAGGTCTCCACAGCCTCCAAGGACCGCAAAAGAATGCCCACAGCATAATTCTCTTCACTTGGAATGGAGATATATAATTGGGTATCATTAGTGTACTTATGATACCTCGTCCCATGGTGACAAATGATCTCACCCAGTAGTTTCATATAGATATTAAAAAGGAGCAGAGGAAGCACCAAGCCCTAACATCCCACAAAGCAGGGTCCATGATAGAGTACCCTATCAACACTACTTGGGCCCGGAATCGGAGGAAGAAATGAACCAGCACAAAACTGTGTCATCCCCACCCCACCCCAAGCTCTCTCAGTTGGCCTAAAAAGACACCATGGTCAATGGTACTGAATGTTGGTACTAGTTTTATTATAGGTAATGCTCAGCATATTACTATACACTATTAGATTTGTAAGTCATGATGGTCATAAAGTGGGCCACCATGTAACTGGATCCATTTTATAACATTTTTGTAGCAGTTAAGTGAATACTGTGCATGTTAAGCGAACACATTGTTTGATATTTTTTTGTCAGAAATCAGAAGTAAATGCCAGTTTGCAGCGAAACCATTGTAAACTGTGGTCGTGTTACTCCAGGAGACTACAAATGTCATAAATACGAGCCAGTTACTGAGTGCCCAAAATGCATTCATATGATTGCAGGGGAGGATGTGGGAATTTCAAAACTGGATCATAAATATTTTGTGGAGGTCTGTCATAATCCTGAATGGTCACTAAGTGACCAGTTGTAAGTCAAGAATTACTTCTATAAGTTTCTAGTAACAGACTCTTTCCAGTCTGATTATTCTTTTTCCCCCCCCTTCCCTTTATATTTGCCAGAACTTGGAATGGTCAAGTCTGAGATGTTTTCTCAGGTTACAGTTCTATCCTGGACTCAGGTTATCTTTATTTGACCATTGTCTTGGTTGCTGCTTTTCCTCCTGTTCCTCAAGGTTATTCCTACTGTCCATTATTGCTCTCTACAACTCTTTTGCTTTAACTGTAACTTGCAAAGAACAAGTAAAAAGAGTGAGTATCTTTCAGACATATCAGACTTTATAGATAGTACCAAATATTGTGTATTCTTCAAATTATTTCAATTTTGGAAAAGAAAATGCATAACTTTTCCATGCTAATCCAACTATAGCTTCAGGGATTTTTATATCTGTATGTTTCATAGAGCCCACCTTCCAAATCACTCTATTTATCCTAGGTCAGATTGGCTCCATCCCTAGCCTTTCATAAAAGGTCCCTCACTGAAGACCTTCATGTGCTTCAGGACCTAAGATCAAATGGCCTTTTGCCAGCTCATCAATTATTTTGTTGGATTTATCCTTGGTGACTTTTTTGGCTTTTTATTCTTTGCCAATATTGCTTTTGTTGCTTTAACATGTTGTTAGCCACCTTTGTCAGATTATCCATTTGAATCAATTATATGAATAAAATTTTTAATCCTAAATTATTCTGATTTTAATAGTTGATTTTATTGACTGCATTGTACATTGATCAGAGCTCCTTTCTGAGGGAGATGGGTAGTTAAGAAATAAGAAGTGCAAATAAATAAAAATAAAGTCTAGCACAAAACCCTAAATATCCCTATAATTAAAATGCTTTCCTTATATATTGGCAGAAAGCTACATAGAAAGTAAGAATTCCAATTTAAATGAAAACCCAGAACCCAAATACACAATAAATACACTATTCTTCAATGTGAAGCAAACAAGTTGGATTATCAAGAGTTGCATAAACATTTCTAGAGTCATCCCTGTGGAACAACTGCATAAGCAAAAAACATTAGGACTGGAATAAATTTATGAAGATTTTTAATTACTGTTGTAGAGAATAAAGACAATAACCTTGACAGAAATATGCAAGCACCATTAGATAAGGAGAGAGGGCTGAAACATTCTTAAACAATTAGCATGTCCCAAGAAGATAGTTTTTGGAAATGACCCAGGTAGATCCTTCCTGATTCGTTGGGATATAAGGAGGAAGGATGGTAAAGCACCACTGGGTTTGCAAGATTGATGCCAATCCCAATAGATAGACCAAAATAAAAAAATCCATTCTATGTGAAGATTAGAACTACAAATAGCCACAATTGAGCTCAAAATTTCTGTTGCTAAGCTTGCCAATTTTACAACTTTTCTTGCCACAGTTAAGTGAATCATCCAGTTGTTAAGTTAGTAACACAGTTGTTTAAGTGAATCTGGCTTATCCACCAATTTTAACAGAACAACAGAATTGGAAGGGACCTTGGAGATCCCCTAGTCCAACAGCCTTGTTCAGGCAGTAGACCCTATACTAATTCAGACAAATGGTTGTCCAAAATTTCTGTTGCTAAGCAAGGTAGTTATTAAGTGAATTTTGCCTAATTTTACGATATTTCCTGCCAAAGTTGTTAAATGAATCGCTGCAGTTGTTAAGTTATTAACAAGGTTGTTAAATGAATCTGGCTTCTCCATTGATTTTGCTTGTCAGGAGGTCGCAAAAGTGGGTCACATGACCCTGGGATACTGCAGCCGTCATAAGTATGAGTCAGTTGTCACGTGGCCAAATTTTGATCACATGACCATAGAGATGCTGCAACGGTTATTAAGTGGGATAAATGGTTATAAGTCACTTTTTTCAGTAGTGTTGTAACTTCAACCTTCAAATGAATTGTTAAGTGGAGGAATACCTTATACTAGGGATGTCAAACTGCCGGCCCGTGGGCCAGACATGTCACGTGGAAGCCACGCCCATTCCATTGCCAGCAATGGTAAAACAGTCCCGATATATCATGGGATGTCACATGATGTCGCGAGTTTGACCCGTCTGCCTTATACCTTTGTGAGATAGGCTCTGCTAACAGGACCTTGTAAATCTGATGGTGCTTTATCTCTCATCTTTCTAATATATAATAGTTCTTGTCTAGTTCTGTCAAGGTAATCTCCATTATTTTCTACAGTGAATATTATTTCACTAAAATTAATTATTGACTGGATATAAATTTCATGTGACTAGATATAAATAATTTGCATTTCAATTTAAGAAAAAACTTCAGCACAAATTACATATATAAAAAAAACAAAAATGTACCTTGATCTGCAACACCACAAGAGTGACAAACTGTTAATACTGATCAGGAATATGCCTAATTACATTTCAGGTTATTGTAAATTTCACCTCTCTACATTCAAAACATTTGAGATTCTTCAAATACCTGTTATTGGTTTGTTGACATGTAACTGAATACACATTCAACCCGTTAATTCTATATAAAATACATTAATTTTTTACTTTAAAAGTTTCTATACTTAAGATGAAGCAAAAAAAGGGGGAAAGAAATTACAGATATTCAAATAAGAAGTTAGAGTACTTTCAATGTGTTAAAATATTGTAATCTAGACTTTCCTTAAAAATGATCCACTTTAAATTGGTCCAAAATACTTATTTTGCATAGTTTTTGTTTCATTTCCTACTTCACTGCTTTTGTTTGACTGGCACCAGCCCAGAAATCACCACCAATAAGGAAATTCTAACAAACAATCCCTTTAGTAGCAAAACTTGGAGACCAGCCAGGATGGCACTAGGGTATGATTGCATCACCCTCCTCGGGGACAGAGATGGTTAGCTGTTCCAAGTAAAGTAATTTTGTACTTTCCCATAAGCTACAAAAACTTTGATTAATCAGCTCAAGACTCTTTAAGTAATTTTTTTCAATGTGTAAGTGCATCATTCAAGCTCTCAAAAAACAGCTGCTATAGAATGCTCCTTAGGCATAGATAATATGAAATAAATGCAAAAACGAAGACAGGGAAATGGGATTAAAAAGGAAGTCCCAGTTTCAGATGTTCTTACAGCTGTGCTTACTAATATGTATCCTTCTCCTTCCACAGATTATAGAAGAGTAACCATACAATGGTCCTGTGATATGAATGTTTCTCAGTTTCGTTTGCATGTTCATTCTGCAGTATCACAGCCTCTTTGTCTAAATTCTGCTTCACTTTTGGCTTATCCCTCTTATTTCTAGCCACCCTTGCTCCAGGATTGTGTGTGTGTGTTTGTATGTTCATTTCTATTTTATTCTTTGACATTTTCTGTCAACCAGTGTATTCCTATATTCTGTAAGAAACTTCTGCTTTTGATTCTCAGTTCCCACTTAGGAAACACTCTGGATGTACCTTATGCTAACAACTAACATTTGTTTTATTAAACAAACAGATAAGCACGCTGCTTCAAAATATTATGCTTAGAAAGAAAATATTAGATAAAATAGGTTTATTTTGTAACAGATAGAAATGCTTACTTTTTTTGTCCTCTTGCTTTGTGGAGGACTGGGTTCTGCCTTGGAATATTCTCATCAATGGTATCTTTGCTGTCAACAGTTTCACTGATATTTAAGGGCTGGTTGTTCCATGGAGCAATAAACCCTGGAGTTGGACTGAATTGTTTAAGCTCGCCTTGTCCTAATGAGCTGCGTTCCCCACAGTAACAAAAAGCGCAGACCTGCTCACTGCTACAACAAGCGGACCAAAAATAAAAAAAGACCAGAAAGGCAAAAGGGAAAGTTCAAATGGTATTTTAAAATGCAAATTTTTAAAAAATTGAAACAGAAATTCTGCCATCCAATTACATTAAATACAGTCAATAAATTATTAATATTTAAATTAGATCTAACTTCACCTGTAAATGTTTTCAAAATAGTTATCCTGGATGAATAAAAAAAAAATCCAACGCTAAGCATTCTTGGATTGCCTGTACTATGGGGTGCAACTCTTTTCAGGCTGAAGGTACAAGACTCTGAATAGCATGTCAAGAGCTGCACTGTAAAAGTTAGCACAGCCAGGATGAAACGCAAAATTTAATCATGAATATAATTACATTTTTAAAATAGTATTAATTTAAAATTAAGTACTTAAATACTGACATTAAGCACAATGTATTTAGCAGATTTTTCTGTTAGATTAAAATTATAATTTGGCACAATTCTCTAGAGAAGCCAACCTAAAGCTTGGGAAAAACCATATTGCCCTAGGACAGGATTTTTTTTTTCCTTGTTGTCTATGTTTGCTAAAAACTGACAGCTTGGACATTTAGTAACTCATTTTCACTGAATTTGAGAGTCAGTTTGTTCAAATGGTTAAGGCACCAGGCTAGAAACCAGGAGACTGAGTTCTAGTACTGCCTTAGCTATGAAAGCCAGCTGGGGACCTTGGACAGTCACTTTCTCTTAGCCCAATCCTCCTCACAGGGTTTTTATGAGGAAAATAGAAAGAGGTGGAAGAGTTATTTGGTATGTTCGCTGCCAAAGGTGAGATATAAATAAATAAATTTACTAAAATATTCTTGTGAAGCAGAAAAATAAATCCAAACTGGTTCACAGCTATTTTCAGTGCTTTTTCTTTAAAAAGAAAGCAGAATAAATCTATTTTAAAATTTAGTTAATAAAGTGACTGATTCCTGATTTCTATTTCATCCGAACCACTATTATAACCGCTATTATTAATGTAGCGTTACAGAAAAGTTATAAACATGCATCTATTTCTCTTGGTTAGGAATGAATAGAATAAACACAATTAAACCACTTATAGACAAATCATCTAAAAAAAAAGTAGCAGGTGACAATTAAAAGTCTCAGCCATCCTCTCACTCATTCTGAAACTGCCTTGCTAACCTGCTTTTTGCTTCAACACCAACCGAATAATTGGTGTTGGCAGAGTCCACAGCGACTGAGCACTGGAGATCTGGTGTTAGCTTCTTGTCATTGTCCACTTCAGTTTGGGTATCCTCCTCTGTAAATTGTTCCCTGGTATCTGCTTAGCAAGGAGAGTGTAAGTTGATTATAGATTTCATTTTAAAGTGTTTAAACAAAACAAGCCATTCTGTTCTATGCCACTTTTTCCATTTTCAAACCAAGAGCAGTTATACCACTTTCCTGGGTGGCTCCAATTGAAAGTTAAAACAATCTATAAAATAATATTAAAATTATAAAACTAAATAGATTAAAACATTAAAATGTTAAAAACAACAAAGACCTGGCACTAAATCAAACTTTTACTTATCCAATCTTCTCTAGACACTTGGTGGGGGGGGGGGGGGAATCAGATCTTCAATCTTTATTGACGGCTAAGAGGATAGAGGTTTGCCAAACTTTAGGGGAGAGAGTGTGCCATAGAGTAGGGACTGCCATAGAAAGAGCAGGCTTCCCATCAGATGGTGATATTGAGGGGAAGCAGCTAGGAGCAAGCCCATCCTATTTCACCTGGTAGGAAGGGTGGTCCTTAGGGAAAGATAGTCCCACAGATAACCAGGCCCTGTGCCATTTAGAGTTTTAAAGGTAATGACCGGCATGTTGAATTGCACCCAGAAAGAAGCTGAAAGACACTGTAGCTCAAGCAACAAGGACCTTACATGGGCAAACCTAGGGACCCCCATTACTGTGCATGCTGCTGCATTCTGGACCAGTTTAAGTTTCTGGATAATTTTCAAGGATAGCCCCATGTAGAATGCATTGCAATAATCCAAACAGGAAATGACCAAGTCATGAATGACCATGAGCAAGGCCTCAAAATTTAATTATTATTGTTCCCTCTTGCAGGAATGTAAACAATGTGGTGGATGTAGATTTAGGCTGTACAATTGAACAAGCAGAGACTGATTTGTGACTGTCTTCACAGCATCCCTACTAGTCATTGATAAATGCTATAGAAGGTGTGGGGAATAACTACAGTATGATAGTTGGAAGTTGCTTTCCAATTTCCGTAGAACTTCATTAGCTTTAACGCTTTCTAACTCTTGTCAGTCTCACCCCATTCAATAGATCTGCTTCACTCTTACTGTAACATTTTTAGTAGGACACAAAAATTGTTATGGGGTAAAGGACATTTGGAAAGTCCACTTCTACCAGACTAGGAGGAGAGTTAAATCTAAATCCATCACAGATTATGGAAATATAATATTAATAAATTTATTCAAAAAAGGACCCGAGGTTAACTGAAGTATAAAGCAAAGGGTAATGAAATGGCATGTCAATGTCCAAACTGAAATGTGAGAAATAAAATATAAAAATGCAAAAATAAAAAACACCTTAAAAGATATTGAGGGAGGGAGGGAGGGAGAGAGAAAGAGAGAAAGAGAGAGAGAGAGAGAAAGAGATAATATACTTATTTTTAAAAAACTTTTTCAAAACAGATTATTACTAGGTACTGTGAATTTATTCTGACATAAAATTAGAATTAATGAGCATCCCAAACAATCTTTAGAGCAAATGAACAGAATTAAACATGAATTGTTATTTATCTACCCATCATAATCCAAAGAGAATCAGAGGCTTACATAGATTGCTAAAAACAAAGTAAAACATTAACAGTATAATAGCCATAAAAATAATAAAAGAACATAACCTAAACATAAAACTATAAATAATTAAAAAAGAAATAAAGGTGGTTCCAGAAGACATTCTGGAACTCTGTCTTAAACACTTTTGAAATATTAAGGGGTGGGGTAGCTTAATCTCAGCTATTACAGAGCATTAGTCCTGCCCCAGAAAACCAGCACTCTGTTGCTTCAACCTGAAAATGTGAGATCAGTCATAGCTCTTTGTTTGATTTAATTGTTTGGCTGATATTGGTTGAAGGCTATAATAGGCTATAATACATTTTTTTAAATGTATTGTATGTGTCCCTCCTTAGCTCCAGATAAAAATCAAGGTACTATGAAATTAAGCTATGTACTTACATAAGAATAGCTGATCACAGTAGTAAAAACTAGAGAATTCTTAAAAATAATAGAAACAATATTCAGCTATAGTGAAAGAAAGATATTTCCTGTTAGAATTCTTAATGCGGCAGAATGATGGAGACTGATCAATTTTTTCCATTAATCTGGCTATTGTTTATGGGATGGAGAGAGCTAAGTAACAGCCAGCATATGGAGGCTGATCCAATAGTATCTGTGATAGGAATAGAAACAGTCTCGGATACAGCAACATTCTAGCCAGTGTAACAGGAAGACCGAGACGGACATGTTCACTATAAGCGACATTGGACCCCGAGCCATAGTATCGTGAAATATGCAACATAATACCGCTTGTTTAGTCTGTCTACTTTGGTCTTTGACCAGCATAAAATGTAAAATTGATAATACAAAACTGATCCATAATTTTGTATTTATAACAGTGTTAATAAATTTTTATGTTTACCACAAAATACCTGTAAATTGAATATAAAACTATAATCAAACACTATGTATGAGTCTAGAATGGAACATTTTTATTACAGCTTCATAATAGCTTTTATAAAATTCAGATGGAAAAACATAAACATTTCTGATTAAATTAGGTAAGAATAAAGTAAAGCAATAAAATATAAGTACTACAAGTTTAAAAATTTAAATACTAAAGATTAAATCAATAAATTACAAGAGTACTTTGCAAAAGTATAAAATAATATTGTCAGTTATAAAATAGCATAATATAAAATAACCCTTACATAAAATTTTAGATAGAATTGCTAAATCACATCTTTTGTTCGTGGTCAGACCGAATAATAATTCTCATGTTTCACTGTCTGTTACCTAATGATACAAGCTCTGAAAAATGGTCACTATAAAGATTAATCTCACCATTATGATCTGAGAGAAATGAAATGCAAAATTTTCTGATCTACCAACAATACCAACAAACCTCTTTAGAAGTAGATTTAGATGTAGGTGATAAATTTCATTATAGAAATAACAAAACTGAAGCCCATGCCCTACAGTTTCAATCAGAAGTAGTCTTTTATTTATAACTATAACTGAACTTGGAATTACGGTCCTAAGTTTTTGCAGTTGGTAAGCAGGTGACCATGTGATTGCACCTGATTTTATAACCTTTTTGCGTAGTTGCTAAGCAAACATGGCAGTCATTAAAGGAATCAATTTTACACAATGTTTTTTTGGCCAGAACTCAGAGGTAAATACCAGAAACTGACAAAAAAAGCCAAAAATCATAGTCATATGACCACAGGACATTGCAAACAACAGTAAAGTTGAACCAGTTACCAAGCATCCAAAATGTGATCAAGTGACTACAGGGCTGCAGCCACTGTAACTTCAAAATCAGGTTGCAAATAGATTTTGGAGTCTCCGCCCTAACTTCGGCCATTAAACGACCATTTGTTAAATTGAGGACTACCTGTATTCCTGAATGGCAGTGGGCAAGTCTAAAAATTATACGTTGTTATAAATGTTATAACACTAAAGGTAAAATCAATAGAATTAAGAGCTGCACATGAATACAATTCAAATAATCTTGGCAGTAGCTATAATCCTAACTCTTGAAAAGGATTTAATCATGTTAAAATAATTATTGTATTATTTAAGTTTTAAGGTAGGGTCCCCAAACTTGGCAACTTTAAGACTTGTGGTCTTCAATTCTCAGAATTCCCCATGGCTGGTGAATTTGGGGAGTTGAAGTCAACAAGTCTTAAAGTTGCCACATTTGGAGACCCCCCACCTTAAAACATAAATAATACAATATTTATTAAGGTAGAAATACAAATATAACACATTTCTGCCTCAAGTAATACTTAACTAAGTATAAATTCCTGTTGTATTTTATATGTGGCTGCACAGAATTTGATTAGATTATAAATAATTGGAAAATCACTATCCAAAAGAAATAATTGGATGATATAATAATAATAATAATAATAATAATAATAATAATAATAATAATAATAATAATAATAATAATAATAATAATAATAATAATAAAAAAAAAAAAAAAAAAAAAAAAAAAAAAAAAAAAAAAAAAAAAAAAAAAAAAAAAAAAAAAAAAAAAAAAAAAAAAAAAAAAAAAAAAAAAAAAAAAAAAAAAAAAAAAAAAAAAAAAAAAAAAAAAAAAAAAAAAAAAAAAAAAAAAAAAGTTGGGAGGGAATACGGAAATGACTGAATGGTGAATATCTATAAATGTCCTATTTATAATGAAGAAGATCACATCTCATAGCTTCCTCACTATTATTACTTCATGGATACAGGTGTTCCAAAAAAGACTCCTCCTGTATTTTCCTTCTCGTGCAGCTGGCAAGCACATAGCACTTACAAAGATATGTGCCATTTTATATTTAGGCATTTGTAGCTGAATTAGATAGGGAGCAGATATATCTGAAACTTTCAGAAATAGGAAGATTTAACTAAGTCAGACCATCCCTCTATAGCCATTATACACTGCCTTGGCAGGAGACTAGAAAATGGGAGACAATCCCAATACAGAGAATTTCTTTAAGACTTTTATCTCCATTCAGATTGGAAACTTTCCATAATTTAAGGGAGCTAATCCTGATTAGAGAAGAGATAACCTTAATCAAGTATATCAGTATGAGTATCAGCGTGACTGGCTGGGGAATTCTGAGAGTGAAAGTCCACATATCTTAAAGTTGCTAAGGTTGGGAAATACTGATCTATACTCTAGGTTCCATCTATCTACTTCTGAGCTGCAGTATTTAAAAGGCACGAGGCTGCAATGCTTAGAAACTTTGATCATCATTCCAAGGAGATAAAGCAATCAGAAGAACCTAGCTCCATATAAATCTTGTGCCTTTGGTTAAGAAAAGTTTAAGACTGCAGGTATGTAGCAGTCACTTTTATTCTGAAAAAAACAAAACCAAAACAAAACCCAAGTGTGGCAGCAGTTGTACACTAAGAACTCTGTGTCACATTTGTTAGATAAATTTTTCTGGAGCCAGACATATGATAAACTACCTCCAGGTATTTAAACATGCTATTTCCATTGGTCCACTAGGAATATATCCTTAGTTCCCTGGGAAAAAAA